CTACATAGCATCATTTCCTGCCAGGTATCTGTGTTCTTGATATATCTAACTGTATTGTGAGATCTGTCATTTTTAATTCTCAGATCTTACTCAAATTAAAAAAAAATAAAACAACCATCTTAATAAAACAGACTGTTTCTAATGCTTCAAGGAAGTAAGCTAAAGGGTGTGGCTATAGCTTAAAATTCCACACATAGAATCCTAGGAACAAACTAAATGGAATCAATGGGTAGCAGGTACACACGTGCTACTGTGAGTATAAGGGCACATGAAATCCAAACTGGGGCAGATGAGAACAAATTTAATTTCAAAAAGAAAGGGAATTAATTTTTGGTGAATGTTTACTATATAATAGACATGTATGCTTGTTTATTTATTTATGTATTTATGTATTTATTTATAAATGTCTATTTATTTAAGGAGTGTGCATACAGAGAAGAGAGGGACAGAGAGAGAGAGAGAGAGAGAGAGAGAGGGAATCCCAAGCAGGTTCAGCTCAGGGCCTGACACAGGGCTTGATCCCATGAACTGTGAGATTATGACCTGAGCCGAAATCAAGAGTTGGATGCTTAACTAACTGAGCCACCCAGGTGCCCCTATGATTTTTTTTTTTTTTTTTTAAGTCTGCTCTATGCCCAACATGGGGCTTAAACTCACGACCCCGAGATCAAGAGTTGCATGCTCTTCTAACTGAGCCAGCCAGGCCCCCATGCCATAGTATTCTTTTTTTTTGTTTTTAATTTCTTTTTAATGTTTATTAATTTTTGAGAGAGAGAGAGAGAGAGAGACAGAGACAGAGACAGAGACAGAGCACGAGCAGGGGAGGGGTAGAGAGAGAGGGAGACACAGAATCCAAAGCAGGCTCCAGGGTCCCAGCTGCCAGCACAGAGCCCCACTAGGGGCTCAAACTCACGAACTGTGAGATCATGACCTGAGCCACAGTCGGACGCTTAACTGAGGGAGCCACCCAGGTGCCCACCATAAGTATTCTTTAAAACATGTAGTCCATAGGCGCTTGGGTGGCTCCCTTGGTTAAGCACCGACTCTTGATTTCAGCTCCATGATTGATTTCAAACCCATGATCTCTGGGTTTGGTTCATGAGTTCGAGTCCTACGTCAGGCTCTGTGCTGGCAGTGGGAAGCCTGCTTGGGATTCTTTCCCTCTCTCTCTGCCCTTCCCCTGCTCTCTCTCTTTCAAATAAGTAAATAAACTTTAAAAAACCAAACAAACTACATAGTACATTTTTAGGTTTCCTCTGCCTGACAATAGGAATGCTAAATATCTGTCATGTGCTGGACTCTCCCATTCTGCATCATGGCAGATATTAATTCATCATTCTTTCTTATTATGCCTCGATTAAATTTTAGGTTCTTTTCCTAAACTGTGCACCAGCAGCCGCTACTCATTGTTGAGAGTTGGCACTGGAGAAACTTCCCTGGACAAGAATGGCCTTGTTCACATGAAAGCCTTCATCTCTAACATGCACAACACATTTGATAAGTCATTTAAGTCTTGTTGATCCTATCACTCGATTTTAATAAGAAAGGGAATTAACATGTGGTGAATGTTTACTATATAATAGACATTTATTATTATTTTTTAAGTAAGCTCTGTGCCCAATGTAGGGGTTGAACTCATGACCCTGAAATCAAGAGTCGCATGCTCTACCAACTAAGCCAGCCAGGCACCCATATAATAGACATTTAAACATATTTTAGATTATTTAATTTTAAGAATGCAAAAAGACAAAGGAATAGATCCTTTACACTGTCTTTCAGGTGGAAACATACTGTAGGATCTTTGGTATTGTGTATTTGTAAGCATTACAAAAGTTTTAAACTTTGAACATATCTTTTGCTTTATAGGCTTTTCTATCACCTAGGAAGAGAATATAATATGAATATTGATCCACTGGGCATTTATATTTCTCATTATATATGATGAAATAAGACTTTTGCTATCAGTAATTTTCACCCGAGTTTAGATGAAATTGTTCCCAGAACTTCTGGACTGGAAGGCTAAATTTAGAGACTTAACCACAATTATGAATGTCTTCCTTGCAAGTACCAGATGTAAGTCCTCAGTGTATTTAAAAATTTTTTTTTATTATTTTTGAGAGAGAGAGAGAGAAAGCGCATGAGTGGGGAAGGGGCAGAGAGAGACGGGGGATAGAAGATCTGAAGTGGGCTCTGTGTTGACAGCAGAGAGCCCAGTGTGGGGTTCCAACTCATGAACTGTGATATCATGACCTGAGCTGAAGCCAGATGCTTAAGTGACTGAGCCACCCAGGTGCCCTCCTCAGTGACTCCTATTTTTGTAGAGTAGTCATTTACCATCTTATTTCTCAATGAGCTGTGATTCAATGGAAAGAACACAGGACTGGTCTAGTCCTGCCTGTGACTTCCTGTATGATCCTGGTTTCTAATTAAACCTCTTATGTACTAAGTTTTCTGATTATTCAGGTAGAAATAATATTTGTTCTACATATACTGACTATATACAATTTTATACATATACTTTCTGACTATATACAATTTTAGTTGCCCAAAATTTTAACTCAGCAAGTATGTATTATAAGGAATACAAATATAAGTATTTGTATTCAAGTTTATATTCTATTGGGGTCAGACTTATAAAAGTAACATGTAAGGATCTAGAGAAAGGATGGATTACATTTAGTGGACGCAGGGGATGTGATCAGGTATATTTAATAAAGGAGATAGGAGTTGAACTGGGTCTGGAGGAATAGGAAAGGTGATAGAGTCATCTGGAAGGGATAAGAACAGAGAGGTACTGGGATTCTCAATCTGCCCCCAGCTTTTATTTTCATACTCATTATCTTCTGCACACTTCAGACTAAATGATGTTCTCTGAATCAAGCATGTGTCTGGCACATAGCAGGCAAGCCTCCAAGGCCCAGCTTCTACCTCTTCCCTTCCAGCCTCACCCAGGTGAAATTTACAGTGCTTTCCTCTATATTAGCCCAGGCCCTTGTTCATATGACCCCTTGCTTTTATTATAGCTTAATAGAACCACCTTCCTTGCTTAATGGTGAACTTTTTGGAGATGGGAATCTGGTACTGAACTCAATGCTTTGCTCTTAGTAAGTAATCAGGAAATTTTATTCAACTGAACTTGTTCCAAGGACAGTGTATCACTCACTAAAGTGAAGGACATGTTGGTATCATCTTCATGTCTCTATAGGCTTCAACTTTTGTGTCCTGCTGTTTTTCTTACATCATCCCTGTGAAGTAGAGTCTTTTTTGCCTTTAAAAACTTAAGAGATGAGGAAACTCAGAGGGTGCCATTTGTCCAGTGATCCAGCTAGGTTCTGAAGCCAAGCAGGGCTCTTTTGACTTGAAATCCACTACTCTCTGCACTGTATTGGGGCCATGTGGCATCAGACAAGTAGGGGTAAATGCACTTATTCTCAAAGCTCTGGTTTTTCCTTTGTAAATGAGAGCAATAGTACTGACCACATGGGATTGTTATGAGGGTTAAACGGGGTGAAATATGTGAAGTCCCTAGCTCAAGGCTTAGCACTTACTGGGCAATGCTTGGTCCCTTCTCACAAGCTTCAAATTCTTATGTACATGAACAGATAAATAAGTACCCAGTTCTGAGGTGTAGTGAGAAGTAGATGGACTACACATAGGTTCTATCCTCTGAAACACATTATAAGAAATTTCATAAGGCAATATTTTGTAAACACGTAAGATTTAGCATCCTCCTTCACCATGTCCACCCTTGTCCACCCGTTACATTCTTTTCCTGCTTAGTGTGTGTGTCAAAGGCAAGGATTGTAGTTGTGTGATTTGTCCAGCTTTGAGGTCAGAGGTTGGTTAAATAATGTCCATGGTGGGGTCTTAAAAAAAAACTTATTAAATCATAGGTTCTCTCTGATCGTGACTTTAAATAACTATGCAGACGAACCTAACACATTAAAAGCAAAGGAAGGAGGGGCCCATGGGTTGATTGCAAACCCAAGTGAAACTAAAGAAATGATTCTGAAATCTTCCCCGGGGTGGGGGGATGCTCTTGAGATTTTTCTGCTGAGCTCCTTAACTCCTAGGTTGGCTACATTTTAAAGAAGAAAAGAATTCCAGCTTTGGTGGACTGGCGGCAAAGGTGAATACGCGGGTGTCGACCCCGGCTTCCTTCGTCTAGCTCCACCTTGATGCTCAGAAGCCCGCGCTAGGCGCCGAGGGTCCACGGAGGCACAGGTCAGGCCGGGTCCGTGTGCCAGGCCACAAGGTGCACGTCCAGCGCCTGGCCTCCCTGTGAGGTGAGGGGGCAGCTTTTGGAGGAAGGCGTGGAGGCGGCTTTCTGGTCCTTCTCGCTTGGGGGCCTTGGTAGGGCGGCCCGCAGCCCAGGAGCTAGAGCTGAGTGGCGCGGCCGTGCCCGCAAGCCCGGGCCTCCGCAGGCATGCCGGCGTCCTCCGTCTCCCCAGTGGGGCCCCGGCGGGTAGGCGGGTACCGGGACCTAGCGACCCCGGCTCGGTGGCCCCGCCCCTCCCCGCGAGCCCGTGGTGACTTCGACCCTCCCCCAACGCTGGAGGGCCCCGCCCCCTCCTCGCGGGCTAACGAGTGTCCTCGCGCGCGCGCGCGCGCGCGCCCTTTCCCTCGGCTTTGAGTGTGAGTGTGCTGCCCTCCCACCTCGGCCCCTCCCTATTGTTTCACTACGCCACCACAAGCCTCCAAACGCAACCCCTCCCCCCATTGGTGTTTACCGCCCCACTCTCCCCGGTTTAAGCGGCGCCTACGGGCCCCCAGAACTAAGGGGGGTACCCCTGAACTCAACCCTCTGCGTCTCCTCTCCAGGGTCTCCTCCGCGACTCTCCCCTGCCCAACCCTCGGGGTCAGGACTCGTCAAGATTCCGTCCCTCTCTCCCCTCCCCCCTTCCCTGGCTCCCCCTCGGCCCCCTCCCCTCAGCGGGTTCTCCTTTTTCTCTCCCTCTCCCTCCTCCTCCCCCACCCCATCCCTTCCCCCCCACAATGCAGTTCGCGGCGCGGCGGACATGGCGGTGGAGTCCTGAGCTCGTCGTGTCCCGGCCTCCAGCGGCGGCGGCAGTGACGGCGGCGGCGGCAGCGGGAGGCGGCGGGGGGAGCGGGAGCCACTGAGATGAGGAGGCGCCGCGCGCGCCTGTAGCTCGCGGGCCTCTCAGGTACGGAGGTTCCGGCCGCGACTCAGCGCTCCGCGCCGAGGGGGTGTGCTCGGGGAAGGCCAGGCGGCCCCCTGTCCGCCTCCTCAGGTGCCGCGCCTCGCAGGTGTCGGGGGCCCAGTCGCCCCCTTGGGGCCTGACACTTCTTTCTTTGCGGGAATGGGCTTCGGGTGTCCCAAGGAAAGGCAGAGCTAAGGGAGGTAGGGGCGGCGGCCTGGCGGCCTGAGGAGGGCATTGGGGCGCTTTGGGGGCCGAACTTCACAGAGAGGCTGAGGTTCTCGGCCCCGGGCCGAAACCTGTAGACCTCGGGTGGTGGATTTTGAGTTAACGGGATTGGCGTGAGCATTCTTTTGGGTCCAGTACGATTCCTTGTCATGTATGCCTTTTCTTTCATCCCCGCTTAGACACGGACGTACATATATAACACGTAAATATACACACTCCTGTAATACACAAGCTCACCCTTTTCGGGAAGAGGGAAGGCAGAGGTGCCTGTATAGATTTCGTTTCTTGCTTGCCCGCCTTCTCTCTCCCCCGCCCCCCAGTCGAATGGTGGTAATGAACGCTTTTGACGTGGGAAACTGTGAGATTCGTATTTGTAAACAGACAGCACCAACCGTGTGTGTTGCACGCCTCCGCGAGAGGTTTCGGGTCCTTTTGGTATCCGGATTGTAAAAGAATGAGATATTTAGACCCGAAAGAAGCACATCATCGGGATTTTTAGTCATACCTGAATGGGATGAATTACTGTTATTTTAACGACGCTAATTGAACATTTTATTATCGTAAGTTTATCAGATCTTTAATCAGACGAATTTTGAACCTTGTGCGAGATCTTGTTTCCGTATACCCTGTTTCTTCATTTTGATATATTTTTGATAGAAAACTAGTTCCTTACACATTGGACATTCAGCCTCCTTTTGTGATCTTCTTAGTGACTAGAAACGCAATTCAAATTGTGTATTGTTGGCGTGCATTTAGTAATTAGCTGGAGTGGATCAGATTACCTTTTGTTTCCTAAATGTCCCCCTCCCCCTGCCAAGTCTTGTAGTAGCGAAACGTGTAATACTTGGTGAAACAGAACGTATCCTGTTTCTGTTTTTAAAGTAATGAGAACTATTAGCTAATAAAATTGGAGAATCCCAACTGGATACGACCATTTAGAGAGAGTGCCATAATAAGGCGGTGAATTGTGGATGGTTAAAAAAAGTTGACTTTTTTTGTTGTGTCAGTCAACATGTTCTGTATATGAGTAGATTGTACGCTGAAATTTTCTTTAGGCTCAGCAGCCTGTAATGTCTACTTGAAAATAGCTGCACAGCATTGCATCCTAGTACTTATTAGTCACAACTTGTAAAATTATGAAATATTACTTCATTTAGAATGCTGTATTAACGAATTCACTAGTGTCTAGTGTGCTATGATGCTTTTATAAACACATTTTAAAGGGTGCTTCTTAAAAATCATACTTTTGGGAAGAGAAAAATTTTAAGCCGTTTTAGGCTTTAAAAATGTGACGTTTCATATAAACAAAAGAAAGTTGGTTTGAAAAAGAGCTCTTTTAGGTAAATTTTCCTATTTTCAATTTTTCATTTGACTAGTGTGGAAAATGAAAAAGTAAAGCTTCCTTGAAATAATACAGAAGCGGAAGTGAAAGTTATTGACATTTAATGTTTTAAGTGTAGCAAATGTCTAAATACAAAGGGGAAACTAAGGTCTTTTCATTGTCCTAGGTCAGGTTGTTAGCAGATAAATTTATAAGATGTTATCATGCACTTAAAAGTTTAATTCAATTTGATAATTCCTAAATCACACCGTGAATTACATTTAATTTTAGTTCATTAAACTAGAACAGTACAGTGTCTGTTATAATTTTAAAACTTAAAATCAAGTTACAATGGCAATTATTAATATTTCTGATTAATAAAAAACTGTTTAAAGAGAATTTTTGTTAGTTCTCAGAGCAGATTCAGTTTAGTAAGTAGAGAACTTTTTTTGACCTCAGAGTTAACCTTGACATGCATAATAAGCATCATTAATTATGCTGTGTTTGTGTGTGTGTTTTTTTTAATGTGTTATTTATAGAATGTCAAATCAGGATCTGTGGGTAGAGAATGGTGTTTGACTTTATTTCCTACAGAAAGTTTGTTTCCAGACCATCAGTAAGCCTTACCTGGAAACGCTGATACTGGTACATTTTGTTTATCCTTAAAAAAAAAATCAGACCATTTTGATATAACAATTCAGTGAGATGTGTTACTTTCTAATGTAAACTACAAATGCTAGAATTGGTAAAATAATTTTACAAAATTCATTGAAAGTCATTACTGCAGACAGAAATATGTTCTAAAAAAGAACAGTTCCAGAAATACCTAAAACAAGGAAAAAATGCTAGTTTAAAGCAGGATATGTGAGGGGTGCCTGGATGGCTCATTTGGTTAAGTGGACTCTTGATTTCAGCTCAGGTCATGGTCTCACAGTTAGTGAATAACATATGCAAAGATAAGTTGTTATGGGGCTCAGAGTAGAAAAGTGAGAAATTCATTGTGGCGGGAATTGAGGATTTATGGGTAGAGTGGTGAGAGAAATGTTTGGAAACAGTAGTCAGATTGTGAAAGTTATTGTGTATTTTGAATTAAGGCCTTTCAATTTTACCAAATGAGATCACCAAGTGAGCTAGTGGTTGAGTTGTGATTAGAAGTGTGTTTTCTGACTCCAACTTTAATATTTCTTTCTCTTCAGCTTCCTTATACCAACAGAGTTTAGCCCTGTTTTCAGTGGATAGTAAAGCCACCTTTTCCATGCCACTCTTTTCTCCTGTTAGTAGTTGCTATAATTCACATTGTTTTTTTGAGGATCCTGAATGTTAAATTTCTTAGAAGGTTCTTTTGCCATAAAAATACCTCTGGGGGAAATAACCTTGTTATAGTTTCTTAGGAAGTTTTTTTACTCCTAAGGGTTAGTTGACTACTTTCTAGTTTAGTACTGGAAAGCAATAGCATGGGGGAATTGGGGAGTGTGGGCTTCCTGCAAGCTCTGTGTTCATCAGTAAAGATGTGCAAAGTCTTAATCTTTGCACAAAGTAGCCTGTACTTTCAAGACGAAATCAGTATGTTTGTAAGTCAGTCGTCTGGTAGTTTTATTTATTAATTTTCAAAGATTTTGTTATTATTATTATTTTTTTTAGTGTTTACTTATTTTGAGAGAGAGAGACAGCACACAAGCAGGGGAGAGGCAGAGAGAGAATCCCAGGCAGGCTCCCAGCTGATAGCATAGAGCCTGATGGGGGGCTCAAACTCATGAACAGTGAGATCATGACCTAAGCTGAAATCAAGAGTTGGCCACTTAACCAACTGAGCCACCCAGGTGCCCCAAAGATTTTATTTTTAGGTAATCTTTACACTCAACGAAGGACTCAAATTCACAACCCTGAGATAGAGTCACATGCTCCACCCACTGAGCCAGCCAGGTGCCCAAATAGTGTGGTAGTTTTAAGTGGGTATTTGATTTACAATGATAATAGATAACTTACTGCATATTTGCGATGTGTAATTTCTTTCTAAAGATCTTTTTACAAATTTTTTAATTTACTTGTTTGTTTTTAGTAATTTCCACACCCAATGTGTGGCTTGAACTAATGACCCTGAGATAAGGGTTGTATATGCTTTTCCAACTGAGCCAGCCAGGTGCCCCTCTTTCTAAAGAGCTTAAGTATTAATTCAGTTTTCACAACAACCTTTTGGTATTATCCTCATTTACAGGTGAGGAAAAGAGGTGCAGAAGGGTTAAGTATCTTGGACAAGATTTCACAGCTACTTTGCCTCAGTGTTAGCATTCATATTCAGGGTATCTGAGTCTGGAGTCAGAGTTGCACCTCAGGCTTGGGTTGTCAGAATTTAGTATGCAGGGGTGCCTGGGTGCCTCAGTTGGTTAAGCGGCTGACTCTTGATTTCTGCTCAGGTCATGATGTCATTGTTTGTGAGTTCAAGCCCCACATCGTGCTCTGTGCTGAGAACATGGAGCCTACTTGGGATTCTCTCTCTCCCTTTCTCTGCCCCTCTCCCATGTGCATGCACACTCTCTCTAAAAAATAAAGGTTAAAAAAAATTTTTTTTTATAATTTAATATGCAGGGGGTGTTCAGTATAGTTACATAGGTTGTCAAAAATATGTTGTGAGAAAAAAACCTTGGTTTGTGAGCATAATTCTTCTGGAAACATGCTTGTAATCCAAAGCACTTGTATATCAAAGTGAATTTCAAGCACCATTGGCTCAGTTGTGATCATGTGACATTGGGTGTCATGTACTACTGGTATTGCAAGACGTTGCTTGTTTATGACATTAAAATTTATTGGAAATGTTTGCTCATCTTGCAGAACACTTGCAGAACAAGTTCGCAATCCAAGGTATTACTGTATGTTGTAAGAACATAAAGTATGAGTTATACATAATAGTGAAATCTGCTTGCATTTTGTCTGTCTTGTACATCGTAGTTTAAATAATTATCATTAAGGGGCGCCTGGGTGGCGCAGTCGGTTAAGCGTCCGACTTCAACCAGGTCACGATCTCGCGGTCCGTGAGTTCGAGCCCCGCATCAGGCTCTGGGCTGTTGGCTCAGAGCCTGGAGCCTGTTTCCGATTCTGTGTCTCCCTCTCTCTCTCTGCCCCTCCCCCATTCATGCTCTGTCTCTCTCTGTCCCAAAAATAAATAAACGTTGAAAAAAAAAATTTAAATAATTATCATTAAAATTGATCAGTCATGGGTACCTGGCTGGCTTAGCTGGTTGAACATCCAGCGCTTGATTTTGGCCCAGGTCATAACATAATCCCGGGATTGTGGGATCAAACCCCCAGTCAGAAAGCACTGAGCATAGAGCCTGCTTGATATTCTCCATGTCTCTCTCTCTCTCTCTCTCCCTCCCCCCTCCCTCCTCCCTCTCTCTCCCCCTTCTCTTCCCCCTTCCCCCTCTCTGTCCCCTTCTCTGTCCCCCTCTCTCCCCCCCTC